CTTCCTTTTTTAAATAATTTAAAATAATAATAATATAATAATAGAATATTATAATAAATACAATACGAAAAAACGTTGAAAGGCCTTCTAGTCTGTTGGTCATTCTTCCTGCATTTTTATTGGCAACACGTTTATCCGTCAAATGTTTCAAATACTCACTCACTCTGTAACGTGCAATTCTCACTTCTAATGTTGTCTGCTCATCGACTGTAGGGAATGTAAGGAATTTGAGACTGTTTTACGTCTACACGGCGTCTCAGCTTCGGTGACTTCACATATAGTGAAGGAGAGCAGACCGGACCCACACACGCGGCCACAAATAAGCGCAGATGGATGGGATATCTTCATCGACGGTAGTACTTAGTTGTTTGTGAGGAGTGCTACGGCTTAGCTAACAGTGAAAGTGAAAATGTACGACCCCGGGTTTTAAACTTCAGTTATCAGTGGGGAAACGTTAAAAGGGATCGAGCATTTAGGGTTTTGGGCAAACCATTGCTGTGTAAGGTTTTTTTTGTCTCAACCTCCCCTATCCGGTTGGCTTGGAAAATTCTTACTCGTTGGTGCGTAATAGACTACCATGCCTGTTCCAACAGTGCATACATGTTTAAAGTCCGGCTATTTGCGGAAGCTAGGTCTCCGTGATTGTCTCCTGTTTCTAACTATATAACGTCCATTAAATCCAGCTTAGTTAGAAGTGGTTTGAGCATACTTGTCTGGTCTTACTCAACTGCATACAGTGTCCCCTTATAGAGGGATGGATTTAATCCCCCCTAGTGAAGGAGATTTTACATGCCCTTCGCTGTTATTGCTGAATGAGTCCTGATGTTTTTGGTAGGATATGGATGCTTTGCAATAGTTTGCTATTCTTTTCTTCACAACTGTTTTACCCCTTACGAGCTGCATTTTTCTCAGGCTTGTGTTCGTTTAACTGCTGTGGTTACACTTCTTTTTGGTTTTGTTGTGACTAACGGCGTTTGTGGTTCCTCTCCTTGAGACCGACTCCTTTGACGGATCTGCTGCCTGCGATAACTAGGTGGCGATTGACCAAACATCCGAACCTGCTTATCACCATTGCCGCCAGTAATTCTCACAATTCCTGATAAGCACAAACACCATGAGTTGCCGATGACGTAATAGATTAGCTCTGCACACAAGACTGGTTACTACTTTGAAGCCAATTGGAAGCGCTAACTTCGACTCTCATCCATCCGCAGAACTGTTAATTAAATCTCAGCATTTCCCACTAAACAGTTAAACAAAGTAGAGGGCGGGACGGTAGGCCACAGTGCGTTCTCCGTAGTTTCCCTAAGAATTCTCACCCTCTAGGCGGAAACCTCAAAAGTTCTCAGAAACCGTCGCGGGTTCACACGGCACGTGATTAAGCGCAACTTCTTGGTAGTGAACTCATACGGCCCTGTTACTTTTCGAAAATCAAACGCCGATGACTAAAAGTGCGTGCCTTTGCCGATGAATGAGGAAAAGGGCCAGTTGATTGAAACTTTTTTAGTCATGCGAAGCCCCTACTACAGTTGCAGATCTAACAGAGATCTATCAGTACTTTGAAAAACTGTATTTAAACACATGCTATCTATCCACTGTTTGTTTAGCTTACTCAAGTGACAATTAGTAACCATGTGGTCCGTTTTGTCTTAAAAGCAGTGATACTGCCAATAGAGATGACGATCCGAGTTCCAGGAAATAGTTCAGAAGAAGAAAAAGCGATCACTGGAACAAGAGGTTTATTGTTCTGACGTTTCGGATTCCCGAGGGAATCCGAAACGTCAGGACAATAAACCTCTTGTGCCAGTGATCGCTTCTTCTTCTGAGCAGTTATACTCCCTGCGGGGTTGATAGAATCGATGACTAATCAGTTGCCTTTTCTCTAGTTTGCTTTCGCTTCTGTCTGCGCGCCGGGAGTCCAGCCTATAAAAGGCTAGATATTACATCCCTGTTAGTCACTTTAACAAATATCCTAAGTCGAATTACCTTTTATTCACTGATCTAAGTGGGAATGAAACTTGGTCCGCATTAAGTGTTTGTTGGTTGAATGAAGTCCATTTTCATATCGCAGAGTTTGACCGTTGACAGTTAGGCGAGCAATATTTCTAATGAAGCAGTGGATGTCAGTAAATGATTCCTTTAACTAAAGACTGAGAACATTTTTTTCGGAAGACGCAATTTTGATTTGAAACAATTGTTCGTAAACGTCAGATGCTACGAATCAGATAAATATAACGCAGTTAAAGTACAGAGTTTTCTGTATTCTACGGCCCCCAGCGAAGCTCCCTCGTTCTTGTACTTTGTATCTCCTCATGACACCAAATGCATGTGGCCAGGTCGATGACGGACGTTTGAGTCGGGACTTTTTCACAGTTCAGTTCAGTCTTATTAAAGGAATGATAGGCGAACGCCTTTGAGTTCCCTTTTCGTAACCAGGTGGCTAAGAACTGAATCGATAGAGAAGAAACATTAAAAAAGAAGTCGTTTGCATAATTGCAAGCAAAAAGCCGTTGGTTAGTCAAAAAGAGTAAATTTACACTACTAATCGCCTATTGCGTGTAGTATATTACATGCAATTGGTCTGGTCGCATAGATTAGCCTGTAGCTGATGAATGAGAAGCTCGATGCGGGATCGGTTTGCTCTTAAATGAATTCACACAGGTGGAGAGTACAACATCTTCAAGCAGAACATTCCGCGCTACAACCAGTCTGTTAGTGAAGAAGAACCCGCGTTCATCGACTCTCGCTTTAGTGGGGTATAGTTTTAGGGGATGACCGCGCAAAGTGGGGTGTGTTAGCCTGAGTGGAAAAAGCATCGGGGTTAGAGCAATAATCCAGGCCA